ATGAGAGAATGTAGAGGTCTATACCCTGCTGTGCATCACCTTGTCTCGTGCATATCCTTGCGCCAGGACCATGCTCAAGGTGAGTGGTTCATTTTTTTGCAGGGCCAGGCTTTTGTGAACCGAACCTGGATGCATATAGACATTCATTCCTGCCTTCCCCTCAACCCTTGAGGCGGATGGCACTGCAGTACCCTTGGTCTCGCATCTCAATGCCATAACTCTCACTCCCTAGAGGACCCTTGGAGTGGAGCCTGTCTTAGGTTGATCAGGAGAATTTCTCCCGTCTTACCCGTCGTTGGCTTGCCCACTCAACTCTTAAAGCTGATATCTTGGGGGAGACACGGAGGGGTCCGCCGAGTGACATTTGAGGAACCGCGTAATCACTAATTACCAACCATAATCCCCGTTCACTACAATCGCTAATCACTATTTTCTAATTATCAATGGGAACACGTCTTAAGCGTGGGGCCCTTCTAGTCTAGGTTCGCAGCCGCGACGGGGAAGGAGACGTACGTAATAATACTAGAACATCCGTAAGAATAATGGCGAGGGCAGCCACATACTTGTTAAAGGAGCCGTGCCTTTCTAGCCTGAGCCCAGAAAACGCTAGGTGTGGAATCCCCTTGACTCTGGGCCAGCAACATCATCAATGTCATATGTGTCTTCTGGGTCGCCCTTATCGACCGCAGGCACCTAAGAGTCACGAGAGTGACAACCATGAGGGCAAGAATGATCCCATACGCAAGAAGTGACGAAGGTTTGAAGAAGGAGCCTATCTGGCTTAGGACATCATCAAAAAAGGAGGCTGTAAGTATAGGCACCTCTATCTGATCTAGCTGTCGGATAGTCATATCCAGGCGCACGCTAGCATTCCAAAAGGAAGAATTATAGGTGGTAAGAACATAATCCTGAAATTGCCTGTAAGCCGAACGGTTGACCTGGATGGGGGTAACGCACAACTGGGTGAATGCCCATCTGGCGTCACACAAATTGTTAGCCACCTCCCAGAGTCCCTGGACTTCCTGAGCGATTAGGTCGATCTGTTGCTGTAACGCCATTATGGCGTTGTGCTGGAGGAGGTTAACTTCTTGTTGCTCCCTCAGCGCCAGGGAGGTGGTGTCTGTAAGATTGGCAAAGGCCTGAGCCGTCAGCGTAGACTGGGTCAGAGCAACGGCAGCCGTCACAGCCGTCGCAGTCAGAGTCACGAACAGTGCTGTCAGGGCCGCTGTGATCCCAAAATCTCTCTTACGTCTGAGCACGGGTAGTTGGTCCTGCTGATAGACGGGATGAACCCAAACAGATTCGTTAAAGGGAACCCACATCAGTGGGGGTCGAAGAGCCAACATAGCATACGGGAAAGACCCATTCCAGCAGTTCCCTGTAAAGCATGGTTGGTTACTGCATCTGAAGGTGATGTCAACAGAGAATACCCACAAGTAGGGCGGTTTTACGCATGCAGCCTCAGAATTAAGGGTGACATTGGTGGTTCCATTAGAGGCAGAAGCGTTAATAGCGAGCATGGGTCTTAAGTCCATGCAGGCTCCGGTGGAAAGGCACAACCAATTTTCATTAAGGGGGAAGGGGAAACTTATTGCCAACCTGTTGTTCACTCTCAGGTAGGACTCCCACCAGGTCAGCGCGAATATGTTGTTACTACCGGATGGAGGAGAAAACCGGGACCACCAAGACATGTTTAGATGAGTCACTCCCACGCCGTCGACAGTACAGGGCTGCCATGAAAGTTGTGACAGGTCCACCATCTGTCTTTTTCGGCTTGGGGACACACGGTATGGGCATGTGGGGAAATCGGGACGGGTGTGCATGGCTGCTCGGGGTTTGCAGGTTGAGTTAAAAGTGATGACTCTGCCGCTAAGTAGGCCGGCTTTAAAACATCCAGGCGAATGCAGGGATGGGACAGACAACCTCACTGTCAGGGAGGTATTATACCACTTTACAAGGAGGGGCAGGAAGCTAACACAGGATCCCCGATGACACGAGGGGTTACTATTAGTGGAAAAAATGACCACATCATTAGTGATGGGAAGGTCAAAACGTATGGGTCTGATGGTCAGTGGTATATCTGGTATGCAAGGCAATCTGGCGGAGCAGTTTTTCGCATACAACTTTGGGAGAGAGGGGGCTGTAGTGGAAATAGCGGCTAGCGCTGGCGGGTGATGTATTGCTGCCCACACCAAGTCTGCTCCTATTTCAGTAGTAGTGGTGAGCATCAAAGCCAGAAGGAAGGGGGCTGCCGGAAGGCGGCGTGGCCTAGCCACTCTGGCTGCACCGTACCCTAAAAGAGAGCCAATTACCATCGAGAGCATAATCATTATTGTGTCCCATAAGTCATACGGTATTCCTCGGTCAAGCAGCAATATCTTGGTCGGACCGATCTTGATCAGGCTGTCCGCTGCCGTTGAGTTTTGGAGTGTCTCCTGCATTGTGTTTCGTTGGATTCGCCACGCGCGTCAGCCGCTCTGGGACCCACAATGGTTCTCGTCCTGGTTCCTGTGGGAAAACACAAACCGCACCTCGGTTCCAGCTAACTACTGGATCCGGGCCCATCCATTGTCCCGTCAGGACATCTTTCCATTTCACCCATCCCCTATTGCCAGGAGATGGATTACAATGTTCCATAGCCGGGGAATGATTGTTGTTGTTCAGGTTCAAAAAATTGTATGTGAACAATGCCATGGAGAGCCGTGCCTTTGGGGGCAGGCCCTGACTTATTCCCCCTTTTTGTTTTTGTAGAATTTCTTTAAGGCTCCTATGAGCCCTTTCAATAATTCCTTGACCTTGGGGATTGTATGGGATGCCATGTTTCAACTGTACCCCCATTTTTTCACAGAACTCATTAAAGGCTTTGCTTGTATAAGCTGGTCCGTTATCAGTTTTTAATATTTTTGGTTTGTCCCATGCGGCCCAAGCTGTCAGGCAATGATTAATCACATGAGACGCCTTTTCGCCTGTTTCAGCAGTCGCGAATATAATATGAGAGCAGGTGTCCGTAGAGACATGAACATACTTAAGAGATCCGAATTCCGTCATATGTGTGACATCCATTTGCCAAGTGTCGCCAGGAATCAATCCCCTGGGGTTAACTCCCGTTGATACGGCGGGTGTGTATGTGGCGCAAGAGCCGCATAACCGTACGATGTCCCGCGCGTCAGCCCTGGAAATGTGGTACTGGTTGGCTAAGGTCCTGGCGTTGACATGAAATCTGTCATGAAACAGACGGGCTTGTTCTATTGAAGATAACATATTGAGTATCCACAACGGGCGAGTGGCCACGTCAGCAGCCGCATTGCCCTGTACCATGGGCCCTGGTAGGCGTGTATGTGCCCTTATGTGAGTGATGTATATTTTGTTGTGCCTATTTTTAAGCAGAGTCTGGATGGACAAAAACAAATTAGTCACTTTGGAGGTTGGCTTAATCGGGCCTGCAGTCTCAAGGACCTGTACGGCATTGATCACATATTTTGAATCAGAGATAATATTAAGGGCTCCTGGGAACTTCTCAAGGACGGTTCGTACAATCTGTAACTCTACCACTTGTGGTTGATCTGGTTCAAATTGTATGCTGATCGGGGGCATACCTGAGACCACATAGGCCCCTATCCCGGTTTTTGACCCGTCCGTATAGACTGTCGTTGCAGGAGTAAGAGGTGTGGACGCGGTGATTTTTGGAAATATCACCGGATGTTGAGTAACAAACTGTAGTATAGGGTCCTTGGGGAACTGGTTGTCTATCTCCCCAAGAAAAACACATCTCAGGATGGCCCAAGTATCTATACAAGCAGTCAGGATTTTTATTTGAGAAGCGGTATAAGGTACCCGAATAGCATGGGGTGCAGAGCCAAAATGTTGGATAGCCCTGCCATGTGCCTCCAAGGCCAGGGAAGCGACTGTTTCCGGATAATGTTCGATAATCTTGGCAGGTGAGACCTTAGGGTGCACCCACAAAAGTGGTCCCTTTTGCCAAATCACTGCCGTAGGTTGAGAAACGGTCTGCAACAAGCAGACCTCAAAAGGCTGTTCTGAGTCAATTCTCCGCAATGTAGCTGTACTTAGGGCTTCCTCTATCTTTCTCAGAGCAACTCTGGCTTCCGGGGTGAACTCCCTGGGGGAGGCAATATCCGAGTCTCCTTTCAGGAGGTCGAACAGGGGCTTTAAGTCCGAGTTAGGGATGTGTAAATAAGGTCTGATCCAGTTTATATCTCCCAGTAGCTTTTGCATGTCATTTAAGGTCCTCAGACTATCTGTTCTGATGGTTACCTTTTGTGGAGAAATCGATGTGGGGGAGACTTTGGTGCCCAAGTAGGTCACTATGTCTCCTCCCTGAATCTTGTCAGGGGCAATATGTAAATTCGCCTTTCTCAGGGCCTTGACCAATTGGCCTAGCATATCCTCCAACTCAGTCATATCTTTTGCATTGATTAGCAGATCATCCATGTAATGAATACACCTAACTCTGGGGAAGGCTTCACGTAAGGGGGCCAGTAGAAAATCAAGATAAATCTGACACATGGTGGGACTGTTGGCCATACCCTGGGGTAATGTAACCCACTCGTACCTCTGATCAGGACTCTCTTGGTTAATGGTGGGTAGGGTAAAGGCGAATCTGTGGGTGTCCTCGGGATGTAGGGGGATTGAGAAAAAACAATCTCTAAGATCTATGGCGTAAACTAACCAGGACTGAGGGATGGCTGAGAGGGCTGGTAGTCCCCTCTGGATCGCCCCCAGGGGTTGCATCTGTGAGTTGACAGCCCTTAGATCATGGAGCAACCTCCACTTGCCTGACTTCTTCCTGATGACAAAGACAGGGGTATTCCAAGGGGAGGTTGACGGCTTTACGTGTCCCGCCTGAAACTGGGTTTTGACTATCTCAGTTAATGCTAAAAGCTTCTCCTTGGGTAAGGGCCACTGAGGCACCCAAACTGGATTTTGAGATTTCCAGGTAATCTTAATTGGAGCGGGCAGGAGAAGTTTCTCAGTGGCCCCTAGGAAAAACCCAACCCGTGTCTACCTTCCCTTTTTTCTACAGGTACGGGGGATGTCCGGCCCTGCAGGGCTGAGCCCAGGCCCTTGCCGGGGACATATCCCTGATTTTTGAGTATCCCTTTGGCTTGGGGAGAGCAGGTGGATGTAAGAGTGACATCCATCTGGGTGAGAACGTCTCTTCCCCACAAGGATACTGGCAGCTGCAAAACAAAAGGTTGAAAATGTCCTCGGTGACCTTCCTCATCACCCCAAGGCAGGGTCACGGCACTAACCTGGGGGGCAGCCACTATCCCCAGTCCTTGGAGCGTGTTGTCAGCTGTGTTGGTAGGCCAACTAGGAGGCCAGTCTTTCTTGGAGACGATGGAACGATCTGCCCCTGTATCTAGGAGTCCTGTTATCCTTTTACCGTTAACCCTGAGCGAGAGCATGGGCCTTTTATCAAGAGTCATATGAAGTCCTTCAAAAATTTCCCTAGAGGAGCCAAGTCCCTGACCCCCTCTAACCCGTTGACCGGACCGGGGTCTCTCATGGAGGCTGGGGAACAGTAAAAGTTGTGCTATCTTATCCCCCTCATTAATTACTATGGTCCCTACATGAGATTGTACCATGATTTTGATGTTTCCTGAATAATCTGGGTCTACAACCCCAGGGATTACGGTAAGGCCCCGGAGGGCTGTAGAGGACTGTCCAATCACTAAACCAACTAGCTTGTCGGGTAGCGGTCCTTTGGAGGTGGTTTCAACCACCTGAACGCCCATATCGGGTGTTAATAGGAGTCTGGAGGCGACACAGAGGTCCACGCCTGCTGGCCCGGGGGTGGCCCCTGTAGGGGGGTGCCATCTTGTGCTGTCCTGTCTAGGGAGTGGGGGCCCGTCCGTAAGGAGGGCCCCCTCTGGCCGTTTTTTTGACTCCGTAGTCTCCCTGCCACTAATACGGTTTCCCTGGGCATCAAAAATAGATCTACAATCTTTTGCTTTGTGAGAACCTTTACCGCACCTTTCGCAGGTTCCCGTTCGTCTGTCTGAGTCCTGTCTCTTGGATACAGACTCCCCCTGTCTGGTCTTGGGGCAGTTCTTTCTTATATGGCTGGGATCCCCACACTGGAAACATCCCCTGGGCTTACCAGGGTGATTGGCCTTCTGAGGCCCTGTCTGTTGTAAGGCGGCGGCTAAAAGGGCAGCCACGCCTGAGTTGGATAATGGCCCCCCTATTTCTCTACAAATTTTAATCCAAGCCTCTATGTTTTTACCCTTGTGGGGTGTTATGGCTGCCCTGCAGTCCTTGGTGCATTGCTCGAAGATTAACTGTTTAATAAGAGGAGCAGCAGCACTCGGATCTGAAAAGAGTCTATCAGCTGCCTCCTGCATTCTGGCCACAAAATCCACAAAAGGTTTTGTGTTGCCCTGAACAATTTTAGAGAGGCATTGTGAGGCCGCCCCTGTGTTGCTCACCTGCTTCCAGGCGCGGATGCCTATGTTATGTATCTGTTCATATACATTTGGAGGGAATCTAGTTTGATCTTGAGCGTACTGACCCTTACCCATAAGCATATCCTCATTTTGCCCTCTATGGCCCCTAGCCGCATTTTTTTCAGCCTGTTCGGCGGCGAACTCAGTATACCAGGCGCGCCAATCCAGAAAAGCCCCGGGGGCCAGGCAGGCTTTAGCCAGTTGGGCCCAATCACTGGGCGTCAGAAAGCCACCGGCAGACAGATTCTCCAACATTGTTATAGTGTAAGGAGCAGTAGGGCCAAATGTGGCAACCGCATTTTTAAGCTCCTTAATTTGCTTGATCTCCAGTGGTTCCCAGTAATTGGGTCCTTGGCCTTGCGCCAGGAGCACCGGATAAAGCCCACATTGTTCATACTCATTCGCCCCTTGAGGAATCTGTTCCATTCTAAATGTCCATCTGCGAAAATACCTTCCCTGGGACCTTGGCATTTTTTCGCAGGGTGGTGCCTCCCCATGAGATGTCTGTCCCTCCCTATCACAAAATTGTATCTCTTTGTAACATGACCGACCAGTCTTTGGGGCACAAGATGGCGGGTCGCCAGGCAGACAAGATGGCGGCCCTGCATGTGACGACGGTCCAGGCCACTCCCTCCATGGGGGGGGTGACGGAGGAAGGCCCCAGGCCGCCATCTCACCACAGGAACCGGCGTTTGGGACCTCCCAGGGTGGCGCGGAAGGCTCTGCGACTTTCCGTTGGGGAGTGCTCAGGAGTTTCCTTCCCTTCTCTAGGTCTGTCTGCATCTTGACTAGGTCTCTACGTAAGGCTGTGAAGGGATTAGGGGGGTCACTTGCTTCATTGTCCTCGCCTTCCGAGGTATCTGAGCCCGAGGAATCCGAGGCAGGGGGCACCTCTCTCTTGCCTCGCTCTCGCGAACGCCTCTGCACGCTCCCTGCGACGGACCCCTCTCGGGAGGACTCCGAGCGGGCCCCTTCAAAAGCTCGGCGGGCCTGAGAGAGCCCATCGGCGCTATCCTTAGCCCCATTCCTCTCCCCTTTGAGGCAGGAATGAATCATCTCCCAGAGCGGCCGAACCGAAAGCGGGAGTCGGCGCTCCTCTTCTGCTCTTTCTAAATCCTTACCTAATTTCTCCCAGCAAGGTAGGGACAAGTGCCCCGTCGGCAGGAACCAGGGTGCCGCCTCATCTACTTGTTGGAGAAATTCCGTAAGTGTCTTGGAGCTCATTGATATGCCTGAAATCTTGAGCAGGTCTTTCACCGCTCTTACCAGTGACTTGGAACTCTTAGTGGGTAAGTTGCCCATGCCTGTCACTGAGGAGTTCGTTCTCACCGTGTGAGGCTAACCTGCCACATACACGTGAGCTTGAGGGGAGTCTAAAAAGCCCTGTAGGTGCGCGCCACCCAGAGCCCAGGTCTATCCCCTACTCACCTGTCCTGCAGAGCAATACTGGAGCGTCGTCCGCCTCGTCTCGGGGGTGATCAGTTCCCCGTACGGGCCACCAAATGTCGGTGTCGATCCCGGCCGGCAGGAAAAAACACACGACACGAGTAGTCGGCGGATAGCCTTTGGTTTATTTTCTCTCTCCGTACGCTCTGCTCCGGGATCTCGGACCCCGCCTGAGGGAAGCCTCCTCTGGTCCGCTCCCTGCGGCTCCTTGTGTGCTTCCCTCAGCAATCCTTCTTCCTAGTGTGTGTGTGTTCGCCCCAGGGGTGGTGCCAGCATATATATGGACACAGTAACCAATCACATCAAAGTAGGCAAGACGAGCTGATTGGCCAGCGTCAGCTGTTGCTGGGCAGACTAGCTCACAGGGCGTGTTGTTTACTAGCTAGGGAGCAGGAAATGGGTGCCATCTTGGCTTATTCGATGGGAGGGGTAATCTAGCTCAGGCTTCACTCCTCACCACAGGCCTCATACCACTCGGTCGATGGGAGGGGCAATCTAGCTCAGGCTTCACTCCTCTCCACAGGCCTCATATCACTCGGCCAGGCTCCCAACAGTCCTCCTTTGTTTTTCGTTTTTGAAAACTCTGGCCTCACACTCATTGTATTTAGTTTCAGTAGTGTTAAGTCTCCCTCGCTGGTGTTCGAGATTATTGACTCAAAAACAGCAGCTCTTATTCAGCTTTGTGGTCCCCAAGGTGCTGAGGCCTACACACACGCCAGTTCTACTCAAAACTTGAGTTAAGTCACAGGGAATGCGTCTCCTGAACTTCTTCATTGGGTGGTAAAAATACAGATATAAACAGCAGGAAAAGCAACATCCTGGAACTAGGTTTTACGTGTTTTGCACTAATCACATCATCACAGTAGGCCTACAGGGTGGGTACTATCATTGTCTTACAGGGAAGGGAGGCACAGAGAGATGATATTTTCTAAGTTCCCACAGTTAGTATAGAGCCGGAATTCTAAGTATGAGTTTGGCTACGAAGACCATCAGTTAACATTGGACATTACTACTTCCATAACGGAGAATGACAACATTTTTAAAAAGCAAATATAAACACATTTATTTATATCACAGGTCACTAAGTAAAAGCACATAAATTGAATAAGGATTTATGTTTTGTGAGTGTCCACCAATTTTTAGCATCATTCAGAGCCATAATGAGGGCATAATGACTGTTTTCTTTAAAATGAGACACACCTGGAAAACCAGCTGACTGGCCCGGTGCTCCTCCCACAGCGTGTTCCTCGAGCTGTCCGCTAGATGGCAGAATGCTGTCGCCGTCCACGCGCTGTTACCAGATTAGTCCAGGCTCTTTCCTAAATTCCACAAGTAACACAAATAAAGCGCTTTGCCTCTGCCCTTAGAAATGTTGGCCTTTTCACAAATAGCATTTTAAAACAAACCGCTATTTTAAGCTGGGAAAGCAAAATGCGAAGTTTTCACAGTAATAATATTAGGTATGGCAGTTAATCATGTTTGTGTTGCTCTGCTCTAGCCTGCTAGGAGCAGATGCACAAACCCACCAGGAAAAAGGCTGAGAAAGCCACATGGGATGATTCACCCAGATGCCAGTCAGAGAGAAGCTGAAGCTTCCTGTGGGACAGTTTGTGACTTGGGTCACTGTCCTTATCCCTCTCAGCGCTGTAGACTCCATCTGAGGGTCCAGCTGAAGCTATACTTTGAACATTAGCTGCTTTTGTTTTGGTTTTGGTTTGTTGTTGGTTGGTTGGTGCAGGATTAGTACCGGCTTTGTGTTTGTGCAGTGCCAGTGATTGGAATGAGTATCACACTCATGCTAGACAAGTGCTCCACCACTGAGCTGTATTCTTCAGTCCTGGGCATTGGTAATTTTTCAAGTTTCCTTGACTAAGTAATTTCTGTCTTGTTTCCTGACTCTTGACATTCTAGGACAGATGCCTAACAGTGTATCTATTACTGTTAGCCCATAAATACACAGCTAGTTCTATTCTAGATACTTAATGGACCTTAATTTCATTAATAGACATAAACAGAGTCCAATAGTAAAAGAAAACAGTGTGTTTGACACTCAGAGCCAGAGTACACAACACTACACCATAATGCCCTCATAAATAATTGGTTAATTAATGAGCTATATCTCTTTTATCTACATACATGTAAAGTTGGAAATTGGAATTGGAAATTGACGGAACAGGTCTGGGAACAGACCTATTGCAGAGATTAACTCTTAAAACAAAATAAGTACATTAAGAGTGAGGGTTGGCATTGAGGAATTAATATTTATTTCTAGAAAATAATTATGAAGCAACATTTGAAGAGGAAGCTTATAAAGGGGCCACACAAAGTTTACCCCATGTCCTTAACACTTTCTCCAAACTTTGTCTTAGTCTTGTCAAATCATTATAATCTCAGCAACCCATTCCTTTCAGAAAAAGATAACTTGTTCACTAAATATCAGTACACACATTGTGTGAGATGCTAGGACTTAGTGGTTTAACCAACACAGAGATCTACCCTGTGACGAAGACTGTGAGTTGAGTTTTGCTTTCTTTCAGGTGTGGAAACGTCAGCAGCAAATGAACACTGCAGCAGAGTCTGCCTCTGGCAGAAACCACCTAGAGAACAGCCTTTGCGCTAACACTTCCCTGAAGAGGACCAGTTAATGGAGGCTGTCTCTCGAGAAAGCCTCTGCTAGTGGGCAGCTGGTTGGCTGGTGCTTTGTCTCTGCTGTGTACCATGTTGAAATCCCCCAAGGCCTTAAGGCCTACTTGTAGTGTTAGAATAGGGCTTGGCAGCTCCTCACAGCTCTGGTCCCTGACGCGTGCTTTCAGCAGGACAAACCAAAATCTGAGAAGGGAGAGTAGACTACGTGCAAGTGATATTTTCATCACCTGAAAACTGTCTGAAGGTTGTGTATCTATATACCCCAGTGCAGGGAGATGCTCTCTTAACATTGTGCAGTTCTACGATGTGTAGCTGCTATTTTTCTGCACGGACTCATTTCAAACCTATCAAACTGAATCATAAGCGAGTACCTTTATCTCCTCTTTTTCTCAAATTAGGAGCTGGTTTTCCTCACCCCCTTCTGTAATTGAGCTTTTTTTTCTAGTCAGATTATCAAAGCAAGCTTAGTCATTTCGGGTCCTGAGTCACCACTTGCATATATGCTTTTTGTCACCAACTTCCCGCCGTCTGTCAAATGTCACTCCTCTTCCGTGTTCTGTGCATGGCAGCTCAGCACGAGTCTCAGAACCGAGTGATGCGCGCACTGCTCTCCATCCCCTCCTCCTCCTCCCGCTTCCTCTCCGGCTTCTTTTTCTTTCTAATCCACTTTTTCCTCCTGCTTTCTTCCTCTTCTTCATTCTTGCTCTTCCTTATTACCAATTTTTTCTAGTAAGAGTTACATTGTGTCCCTTTTCCTGTAAAAAAGAATCCAAGCCTTTTGTTTCTTTCTCCTATGTTCAATTTTTGATGAAGTAGTTCTTATAGGAGGCAGTTAACATGTTTTTTGAGTTAAAGATCTATCAAAAATTTGCCATATAGTTATAGCCTCACATACATGTGTTCATTTTGATTTTTGTTACTTTTAAATTGATTTATAACATGTATATATTTATGGTAAAAAATAATGTATTTTAGTACCTGCTGCCTTGTACCATTCACCATTCTATCAAGGTTTCTAAATTTTTGACTAAGTCCATTTTACCCCCCAGAGAACAAGGAAGTCCAGCTCCCTTCCTGCCACATGTTCTCTTACACAGCACTGATGGCACAGGTGTTAGAGCAGAAACCCAGTCCCTGTGGAATCTTTGCTCATGTGAGGGGGACAAGGCCATGCTTCTTCTGCAGTGTTTGCTGGAGTATTTTTTTTTTTCTTAAAGTGTTCTGTCATGCTGGTCTGCCCAATTCCTTTTTTATTTGTTTGTTACCAAAAAATTGACAAGCCTAAAACACCAATCAATGCAAACATATAGCAGACTTTTTGTCTGCATTGATTGGTGTTTTGGGGTTGTCAATTTTTTCAGCACATTTGGAGAGAAAGAAACTACCATGAAAGCCGGCATGGTGGCGTATGCCTGTAGTCCCACCACTTCGGAGGCTGAAGGAGGAAGCTTACTGTGAGCTTGAGGCCAACCTGGGCTGTAAAGTGAGTTCAAGATCAGCTTGAACTGCAGAGTAAAACTCTGGCTCAAAAACATAAAGAAAAAAGATCCGAACATTGAGTTCCTTAGATCCTCATTCCTAGCTGGTATACTACCTTCTTTTAGAGATTTTATATTTTGTGCTCTGTCTTTTGTTATTTTGCATATATAATATGCAGAATTTTTATTTATATTTAAGGAGAGGAATAGGAAAACTATGTCTATTCTACCCATCTGGATGATATACCTTGCCTTTCTACTTAAACAACAAGAGCTACCTGTGCCATTCACAGAGGCTTGCTCATTTTTACAGTTATATAGCATTTCACTGCAGGCATATACCATAATTCACTTAGCCAGGCCACTATTTCGGTGCATTTGAATATTCATCTACAGTTTTTAACAATTCTAAAAATAACCCTGTGTTTAACTAGGTGAAATAGATAGATAGATAGATAGATAGATAGATAGATAGATAGATAGATAGATGTTTTTGTATAATAAAGGATATCGGTGGGACAAGTTCCTCCAAAATATGTGTATGTTTAGTGTCGTTAAATTGCTGAATTACACACAGTAAGAATGATACCAGTTTGTACTTTAGTAAATATCAGAGTATTTTCAGACTTTTTTTTTTTTTGGCATCAGGAATTTGCTAACTGTAACTTTTCCAAACCTGTAAGTGGAACGATTACCTCAAGTTACTCTAATTTCATTTTTCTTCACTTTTAGAAGAATCTAGAACCAGAATATATTTTCCAAATGCATTTGTTTTTCTTTTCTGTGCATTTAGTGCTCATATCCTTTGAACAATATTCTATTATATCCAATCTAGTTATCGTTTGTCAAATTGATTTATATTAGAGGCAAAGTGTTAGATACATTAAAATCTATCCATTTAAAGTATGCACTTATATGTGTTTTGACAAATGTGTTCATTCACATTACCAGAGCACAATCAACAAATAGGAGATTTCTATCACCCAGGAAATTCTCTAGGGTCTACTTGTCATCAATTGCCTGTCCCCAAACATTCTCAAATATCATTTACTTAACAAAAAGTTGGCTTAATTAAGAATAACTAGGCGGGTACTGTTTTATCCATAATTTAAATACTCTTCACCTTTAGGTTCAATTTGTAAGTAAGTTGGAAGTGTGACTATCTTTTCATGTTGGATTACAAGCATTTGGAAGACAGGAAACAGCTTCCATATGTCTTATATTGAATTTAGTATTTTGAAACATTTCATCCTCAATCATTATAATTATTCAGTATTTACTTCTAACTTGAAACTAATGGTCATAATTGGAAACAAAAATTAATTCATTGACTTACAGTTTGTAATATTAAAATTGTAAACTTCTTATATGATACTTTAGTCCTGATTTTTAGTAAATGCTTGTATTCTTCTAAAGAAGAATTACAACAATCATATTCTTCTCAACAAAATGACACTGAAGTCAGTGATTCCCAGAAAAGCTGGAGGGCTGATGTGGATCACTGGCCTCAGTCAGCTTTGCAAGGCAGAACAGGACAATCAGTTTACATATGCCGACTAGAGTGTCAGCTTTCAGTTGCTGCAATTTGACTCATTTTTGAAGTTTTGTTTCTCTGAGTGGAAGAATGAAATCTTTAACATCTAGTGATAGATAGTGGTGATCTGAATTTATTTTCTATTTACTGTAAGTAGCACAGAGATATTTAAACTTTTATATCAGCCATTCTAGAATACAAATGCGAACCAAATATGGAAAGAAAAACCATGAACTATGTTTCCAGCACCAGCAATATTTCAGATAGATTGAATGAAGCCATTGCTAAAGCAAATAACATTTCTCTAAAATTAAAAACAAACACTCTTATTTCCACTAGAAGTATCTAAATGTGATTAACACTAGGTACTGCTTAATGCTGTATTAATAAAATTCTTTATCAATGTGATTTGCTATTTAAAATGATAACTTGCATATCAAGCAAACATCTCTCTAGTGCATAACTAACACTATTTTTTAGAAATATCAGAGAACAAAGAATAGTTTAAAGCAAAGGTGGCAAACCTGTGGTGCATGAAACATAGCAGGCTATTTGTATCACTGGAAACTCTAAAGGCTTCGCCATCACTGACCTAGAAAATACCTCTCAAGGTCACAAGATGCTTTACTTGAACTAATCACAAAACTAAGACAAGCTCTAAATAATTGGCAAATGGATACTTTTACCCTATTCAGTGCCTTTCATCCAGTAGACTCTTTCGATCCAAACAATGCAGCCTGCTTTTTCCAAGTCCAGGAATAGACCTAGTCAAAAAGGCAACCCATGTATGTTCTCTATCCTAAAATCTAAAAGAATTATCCTATAAGTAGTAGAAAATTTTATATGTAATAATGAAAAAGAGAAATCATAGTAGATTGTTTGAGGAATTGTAAATTGATTGCCACAAAGCTACTACTTTTCAAAATCATGAAGTTTTAGAACTGATTTTTGCATATATTCAGTAAGCTCAAATTTTATGCTGTGAGTCTATATTTATTTTTTGAAGTCACTTAGAAGTTATTACAATCAGGTCACATGACATAAATGAGAAACAAAGATGGCCAATTTACAATGTGAAAGCTAAGGGGGCAATTTAGAATCAAAAATAATTACAGTGAAATGTTATAGCCTGATAATATTGCTTTCATAATTTTATTACTTTTAATAAAAATAAAATCTGTAAGTTCACACTGATATAAATACATAATACTATGTACACACAAATTGGTGGAGAAGAGAAAGTTCCTTGCAGTGGAATATTAATAATTGCAACAGGAAGGAGAAAGCAATGATTTGCATTATCATAGTAATAACTGATTCAAGCAAGGGGGCCATAGTTAATATCCCACTAGTCATTAACTAAAAGGAGAAAAATGTAACTTTGTAGAGGAGAAATATAGTAGATGCTATGTTCATCAAGTTGTGAAGGTTATCATCTTCAGAAATAGAGCTCACTGAACTGTAAGCCACCTGCCAAGGAGCACCAAAGTGATGCAATCATTTGTCACTAGTATTCTTCATAAAAGCGTGCACTATCTCATTCTTAATCTTGAGTTAAGATCAAACAAACCAAAGCCATGACATATTTTATCAAATAACTATCAAGGTCATGAATAATAAAGACAGTTTAAAATGAAAGAAACTTGATTACTAAGTACATCATCCTGGAATGGAGTTTAGAATGGGAAAAAATAAAGAACACAGATGTACCAACTGATAAAATTTGAATACAGACATAGATTAGATAGTAACGTATCACAGTTAAACTTCCTGATTTTACAATAAATTTTCACCTATACAAGGGAACATTAGGTTTCCTAGGAAATAAAATCTGACATCTTTAGGACATGTGGGCATCATGCCTGATATTTGCTTTCAAGTGTTTCATTAAAAAATACAGATATTTAAAAGACTGAGAAAATAATAGAGTGAATAGGAGAAAATGCAACCAATCAGTATGTTTGGGTAAAGAGCTACATGTATCAAATTCTGTGCATTCTTCCTACCTTTGTTTAAGTTCAAAGTAATACAAAAATAACAAGAAATAATAGAGGCAATAGAAATAAGGTTTCCTAGAAGATCAATGCAAATTTTTAAAATACTGGTTTTTCAATTTTTATTTTTTATTGTACATGTTTACAGTGTATAATGATTACATTCCTCATGGGGATTTGGTACATGAAAATAATATATTTAATCCTTTCTTCATCCCTTTCCCCTCTTTCTTCACTTCTTCCATCTCTTAGTCTCTTTCCCTTTTGCAAAAGATCTGTTTCTTAATAACATCTTTTATTTTGATAATTATTTATATTTTGGGTTTCTTATATAAGAGAAGCCATACTGTATTTAAGCTTGTGTTCTCATTTATTACACTTCACATTACAGTCTCAGGGTTTATCCGTTTTCCTACAAATGACTCAAGTTTACAATTTTTTGTGGCAAAATAGTACTCTGTTGTGCATAAGTACCACATTTCCTTTAACCATCCATCTGTGGATGGACATACAAGCCACTTCCAAGATTTAGCTATTATGATTCTGCGGCTATAAACAAGGGTATGTATTTGGAGCGATGAAAATGTGGCAGTAATCATACAAATCTAGGCTAGATGACCCTTAGTAAGAATGGTGCTGGAGACTGTGTGGCTCTGGGCTAAAAGCAACTAGGCACAGTCTGATTCATTCTCATGGCAAAGAGCATCCCCATATCAGGGGCCACTATGTGCCATGTTATGACATTCAGT